TTTCAAACAATTGATTCCCTTCTAATCAAATACAAAAAAAACATTTACTGACATGAATTTGGCATAAGCTTCAAATATTACATTATAACATTGTGAAGATGGTTTCTTCCCTGGCACCGACCTGTATAGTAGAAATGATATTGTGTTAGAAATCCTGAGCCCATTTTTGACTCTGATTACTCAGCCCTGTTTGAATTAGGATGTCTGGGTGTCAAAGTATCACTCACTTAGTACCCACAGTACAGTATGTAACATGGTATAATTTCCATTGCCTACACGGGACAATTATAATGAAACTAAATGCCCAGAGACTTTCCATTCACACCACTCGGCATGACCGTCTCACCTTCAGGGAGAGAGTTTTGTTTATGTTTACGGGTGTGAGCTCCAGTGCAGCACAAGTATGTTGCTAAAGCCAGTGCAGGAGAAAAGATTCCAGAAATGTCTCACTCCATGCTTAGTCACATATTTGTTTTTGTGACCCTATTACATCCGATCAATCATCTCACATCCACAGCTCAAGAAATGTTTTATTTCAGACAATTTGTTCTCCAGTCGGGGATTAATTGTTTATTGCATCTGAACAGCATTTTTTAAAATGATTGTGATGAATGTGGCGTGCTAACGAGCTAATGCAGACTCTCCATCTCAGCGCATGGAAAATGAAAACAGAGCTGCAGTGAAACCTCAGTGCCAGATCAGTACTTTCCTTGGCCTCGACATATCCCTGTGACAGTGGGGTTTTAAAGCTGTCTATCCTGACGTGGCTAGGCAAGGGCCTATCTATTTAAAGCTGAGGCGGCAGAGCAGGAAAACGTTTTAGGGTACGGTTGCTCACGCTCACGCTCTAAAAATAAACAAATTTTCCATTAGAGTGGGAAGCATGGGATCGATGGAGGCCAGAGGGAGGCTGTCTTTGCCCCACTGGAGCAAATGGTGTGTGGGGAGATGGGATAATTGCACGCCTGCCCCTCACCATAACGTACACATCAGAGGCAGAGCTCAGGGAGGTGGAGGTTCTGAGGATCAGGGTGGCACAGCTGCAACAAGAGATTCACTTCGAGCAGGTAGGGGATGTGTGCTATCTGACAAATAACTGTTTGTCAATAACTACCAAAGCACAATGTTCTAACAGTCTTCCTTCTGTGTGACAGGCTCTGTTGGAGGCTTTGTCGCCACAGCTTTCATCTACAATACCTGGGCCTGGGTATCCCAACATGAGTGTGCTGAGAGACATGTACTCCCTGCTGGGGGAGGGAGGGGAACGTTTCCCTGCCATAGTCCTGGACACTGAGTCTGACTGAGCACAGCGGATATGGCACTTTGTATGCCTCTGTTTACACAAATATAGAAATAACTTATTCGAAAACACCTCTCAATAAAATGCTGTCCAGTGCAACACCAGCAGAATCATCGCCGTCTGACACCTTTGAGAAAACTAGAATCTTATACATTTTAAGAGACCCATGTATTGTAATGCTTTAGACTGAGCGTGTGTATTTAATAAAGTGGTTACTCCGTTTACTTCCATCCTTGAACCAAGATGAATTTGTGAAGAAAGCTGTGACTATTTATTTAGTGTCTGATAACATGTATTTACTTTTATGACTAAAAGAAAAAACAATCATTTTTATAGAGAATAAATTAGTTCTTCTTTCTTGTATTTTTCCTGACTGGTAAATGTAGTTACATTTTTGTTATTGTGTCCTGTCAAAATCATGTAAATCTGAAAATCTCTTATAATTAAAAAAATCCTAAAATTTTACTCAATATGGAGACGTGTGTTGTCACTGAACATCATCAATCATTATTGACACATCTGTGTGAAATCAGATGGTTTAAACTGATTTCACTGGCTGAATATTTTGAGTTCTAGTCTGCCTTTCCATAAACAGTGATGTATTGCTTTAAATCACATTTTTTTTAGTTTTTTAATAATATTATTGTCCCCATTGCTTGAATAATGAGTCATGGAAAAACTGAACCTGAGGTCATGGTGCTCATATAACACTGCCTTTACCAGCAGGTGGCACTCAGCTAACAGAACAAGTGACCACAGAACACACTAGCAGTTGACTTCTGTCAATCAATTTAAACAAATCTATATATTTTCAGCTCCATTCAGTCTGTGACCTTGACTAACATAAGGAAATAAAACTTCATCATACGACGTGAACAAGTAATGGTTACTAATCTGTGTTCTGTGTGGCTGCTGGCATGCCGGTGTGAATGTAAGTGACTTGATGGCACAAAGGCGGTGTTTCATCCTATTTTAAAACCGCCTTTCACTGAAAGCAGCAGGTACACCGTGTCTACAGACTCATCCTTCATGTGAAACAGTTTCTTCCCGCTGTCTGGCAAATCAGAGTTTCAGAAAAGCTTGCAGTGTGAGTGATTGTGCTTGTTATCAATGAAATGGGCCTGCAGCTTTCAGTGTGTCATGTTTTCTGTGTATCGATATAATCATGTATTAAAATGAGCAAGAAAAAAGGATGCAAATGAGTAAAACCTCCACACCCAGCATGCTCCATATGATGTGTCTGATTTTCTCTCTGGGATTAAATCATCTGGCAAACACTGAATGATTGATGAATTTACGGGGCCAATTCTGTGATGTGAGAAAATTGGTAAACTGGGTTTTGAGCGCCACATATGTGATGTGAAAGTGTGTGTGAGATGCAGTAGAGGACTAGAAGGTCTTTGCTCACAGATGTCGTGTGGATGGCACGCACTCTGCCAGACTGGGCGACAGGTGGCGCTGGGTTCACACAGCAGGCCGTGGGTGTTTGAGCCCTGCTGCACCAAACCCTCTTCTACACACAAACATGGGGACACACACCCAAAGCCGGCTGAGTCACACAGAGACGATGCTCTAGGGGAGCCTGGCTCTCTGCGTGCTTCAAGCTTGAAATAGCCGTTTCCCTTCGGAGAGCAATAAATGGCTTATAAAAGGGAGAAGGCTATTTCAGCTTCACATTGTTATCTGTGGCTGGAGAAACTCCTGAGTTAAATCAGAAATAGCCTCAAGATACCCTCTATTCAAGAAAATGTCATCTGTCCAGGATTATAGCAGTCAGCTGCAGGATCCTTTTCCCAAACGGTCTTGGATTAGGGTGTGTGAAAGGAGGATGAGGCAGGGAAGCATCCTTGAGATCACGTCAACACTACACACAGGTCCCAGAGGAGACGGTGCCTACGCAACTCAGCCTTCCTGTGACCTGCATACATCAGCTGCAGCTTGGCTCGACTGTCACTAGCAGAACTCTTCCACTCCCACCAACATGGCCTGGCCCTGCCCAGGTTAACCAGGTCTCACGCCTTTGTCCCATTTTTCTCATGATGTCACATAATGGAAGAGTCGAGGACATTTTATTTCTAATGGAAAGGCTTCATTTTCTTTCCCATGTCAGCATTGCTTTGTGTCACACACAGTTGAATTGTGATTTCTTTTCTTACAAATTTATTTCAACCTCTCTGTTTTTTTTACCTTTTGTAGCCCTGGTCCTCAGTAAAGTTGGAATCCAAGTGCAAATCCACAGAAACCAAACAGAGCTCCCAAGAATCCACTTCTCTGCTTCAATTGCCCATTGCTTTTGAACATCTCTTTTCTCCTGGGCCCCATCACAAGCACATTCTTTACTTTCCCTCTTTTACTTCTCTGTTCATTGAGCACAATGAGCTACATCAGAGCTTTTAAAGTCGTCCTCTCGCTGGTTTATTTTGTCCGTTGAGGCAAAAAAACAGTCCACAGAACTGCAAAGCATGTCGTCCTGTAGAGAAGGAGGCCTGTTTGGCTTTTACAAGAGAATATTAGGGGTCTTTTAATCTGATAATGTTCTCCTTGTGGACATGAAAGAGCAGGAACCCTTTTATCTAATTACGAGGAGAAAACCTGTTGCTAAGCTGAAGTCATTTTACAAATGCATAGCCAAGCTTTGTAAACCCATAATTATATTTCAGTGGTTCCTTCCTACCCGGAGTTACTCTCTTTGGATTTTCAAAACCATGTCATGGACTATGGTTTTTATGCCTGCAAAGATTCTAACTAAAATATGAGCCCTATAGTGAGAATGACTTATTAAATGTGTATACCCTTAATTACACTTAAAAAAAAAAAAAAAAATCTTAAGGTGTTGCCCAAAAATAAAAAAGAGACATTTAGCAGCGAACACACATTTATGCCTCCTCCAACGTAGCTTTTCAGATGTGGAGGAGTGAGATTAGAAGTTTGTTGAAGAGAGCTGTCCGAATTGATTTTTCTTTTCATGGATGATAGAGGGGGATTGACTTCTACTAGGCTGCCTTCCATTCAGAAAGGATGGACACCATCAGTGTGTGTGTGTGGGTGGGAAATGAGTGGGGGCTGCCATTGGTTTTTCGTGAGTGTGTTTCTATCACGTGTGGGCATGCTCATTACAGGATTTTACACTTTTCCTGAGGAGCACTGCGTAACTGATATCCTCCTACAAATCAGTGTTTTCAGGTGCCTGCATGCATATAAATGGAGGGAGAGTGTAGGTGGACAGAGGATCTCGGTTTGCTGCTTCTGATGTCTCTGCAAGAATTGGTGGAGTGCAATGGAAACACCATTACTTTATAATTGCCACAAGGAGGTGACACATCTGTGATGTTGGAGCTGAGGGTGATGACAATAGGAAAAGCTTTCCAATCTAAAAGTGATGAGGGATTCCCCTTTCTCCTCTGATTTACAATAGGCTTCTGTATTCCCGAGGGGAGGCCTTTACTGCAGGAAAACAAAAAAAGACTGCAATTGAGAGGCAGTGATGGGGAGATGAAGAAGAAAAGAGAGAGCAGTTTACTCCCCTCCCCCTGCCTGAGCTTCCTCAACTCCCCTAGTCTCCCTGCTTCAAAGTTTGACGTCACCCAAAAGAAGACCAATCAGAACACTTGGACTTCCCTGTTTTTCTTCCATGCTCCTCCCCTTCCAATGGTCCCTTATATATCGCCCTCCACTACACTGAGCAGAGTGTACAATGTGCTGCCAGAGAGCACGCAGGCAGCAGACAGAGATACAGCCTGAGAGGAAGGCAGAGAAGGGGAAAGTGTGAGTGGATTTCAGAGCTGACTTAAAGTCTTCATCCTCACGCCACAGCCTTTCCTGCGCCTGTTATTTCTCCAGTCTCATCAAGACCTCCTTTCTCTCTTTTTTGCCTTTCTCTAAATCTTCCTGTTTTTCCAGGCTAGAGCTGACTACAAAGAGGATCCAAGAGGCGAACACTGCATCCTTGTTTCAGGATTCACCAGCCCACACCATAAGGATGGGCTGTACAACGGGCCACCTGACTTGTCAAACTCAGGCCCAGACCAGCTCTGGTCAGGAGGCTCAGTCTTTGGAGGCTGGTGGAGCAAAAGTCCCTGATGTGCTCTCCTCTCTTGAGCGTCTGTCCCAGGCCACCGGAGGCATGGAGAAATCCTGGTACCGCTGCATCTTTCCTTTTGGAATCATCTCTCTGGTGATAGGTGTAGCAGGAACGGGGGTGACCTACACCTATAACGACCTGCCACAGACTAAAGTGGTTTCAGTGGTGCTACTGGTTATGGGTCTTTTGCTATTGCTGATGGCCACTGCCTGTTGGACTGTTCACAAGAAGAAGAGAAGAAAAAAGAAAGAGGGAGGCTCGTTCACCTCTGAACAGTGTCCTCTCTGAAGTCCATGGAGAAAACTATGAGAGGAACTTGGTTGCAGAGACATACCCAGGACTGGGAGCTCAGAGGTTAGCTAAAGAAGCCGTCACTTCACCTCCCACCGCCAAATCCCCTCTATTCTTTATCACAGAGTTTGACTCAGTTCATACCGGGGAGAACTTGGGCTGACAAATCAGTGGACGGACAGATAGACAGGATTCCATGTATCTGTTTAGTCTGTAAGGTTTGGACCATTTTGGATTGGCAAGGAGGGATCACCAGTGCCACACACACACTTTTATCATCAGACAGCAGGTGTCCTGTGTCAAAACAACTTCCAAGGAGACGCACAAATATGTGCCGCGCACTGCGTGCATATTTACACGCACAGATACATGGCCCTTGCAGTCCTCAGTCACACATGCACTAGAAGTCACAGTGGAAGCCTGCACAGACACCTAACACGCTATGCTGAGCTGCTGCTGGAGTCAATGCTGGCGTCACTAGGCACGTCAGTCACAGCATTCCTCCTGCCAGGACAGGTGACTCTCCAAGAGGCCAGAAGTGGGCCAAAGAAGACAACCCGATACCCATCTGAAAGAGCAGCTCACTCGCGTCAGCGGCCAGCGTCATTCACTCGTCCTGTGACACCGCAGCAATGTGTTGGGAGCTTTTTTTACGCAATGGGAGAGTGGAACTTGAGTCCAACAGGATCTTACTGGCATCTGTGTGGATGATGAACTGGGGAGGGCAGAGGACCTGTTGGGGAAGTGGAAGATGTGTGCAAAAATAAAGATTCTGTTGAACTGAAAGACTGCTGGACCTTGGACTTCACTACTGAGGAACAAAAGATTTGCACATATGGTAATGTCCATGCCAAGTAAGAGAAACTTTTAGTAAAGCACTGAAAAGCCTTCTGTAGCTTAATCGTCACACTACAAAGGAGTGGGGCACTGACTGATTGCCCTCCTGTCATTATGCGAGCATTTACACCCAGCCTAGTGTCTTCATGGGGCACCGTGGGGCAGGCCAGGATTATTGAAGGACACTGAGTGAGGGGACATGCCACTGCAGGGACACTTTGACTGATCCTGCTCCCCTAGGGCCCCTCCCGCTTTGTGCCTTGAGCAAGCACTCATGGAAAAAGGCTCTGTTGCATTCCCCCTTTTACATCTGAACCCCTAAGAATGTCCCCCTTGTTCTCTCTCACTCGTTAGCTCACCAGGACTATCCCCATCCATCCCAAATGTCTTCTCCATCCTCATGTGTCTGACTTGCACCTACTCATTTCCCCATTTCCATAAACCCTGGGAGGGAGTGTGTACAGCTTTTAACACACAAGTTGAGACACATACACTTTAATGTAAGTCCCACAGTCCACACACATGTCGTTATCCATCTGTGCCAAAGAATGTGGATTATTTTCTCTCTACTGGTGGAAAGAATATTGACTGAGAGTGAGTAGCAAAGCCCTTTGTCAGACTAAAAATAGGGTACAAGGCTGGTCTCTGGTGAATAGGGACTTAGGTTTGTGCTCTAAGTGGCTCTGGGGTTTCCCTTTCCAACACTTATGCTTTCAAAGAATGAATGAATGTAGCTGCATATGGCTCCACGTCTGTGATTAGTTGCTTTGTGTTGATGTGTGGTCTCATAGGCGGAGACACACAAGCAAAACTTATGCTTGTCTTAAATATATCTGTCAGTGAATGTACGGGAAAAGAAATACAAATCAAGGAAGGAGAATGTGCATGTGCAGAATGTAAAGATATGAAAAGGAGTCTAGACCTTTGTCTCCATGTGAAGGGCAGCGTAGTCCTTTACCCTTGAGAACCATCATTGATCATCATGCATTGATTCTGGCTACCCGATTAGTTATGCGTGTTGCTGACTAAATGTGTCTATGCATCCAGAGGTAGCAACCATCACACAATGCCAAAGATTGTCCTGAAGGCCAGTTTGTCAATTCCAATCCCGCTTTGTCTGTCTGCTTCAATAGGCATACAATGGATCAGATCTGTCTTAAACATTATTTGCAGCCCAGTTTGCAATTAGATGTTTTCTTGCACATTGATTACCTGTCTAACTCTATTTGTTTAAACAAAGTGAAGAAAGGGAAGAAGGGGGAAATTAAGAGGTAATGTTGGAAGACAAAAGTAATCTGGCAATCATTGCTTTCACTTTTATGTGCAAGTGGGGAGTGTTGCCTGTGGCTAGATTGGGATCATCCATCCTGAACATAGCAGTGTTATATTGAGGGAAAAATGGATTACTGGCAGCAGGAGTGAAAATGCCAAGTTAATGGGTTGAAGTTGGTTTTCTCTTAATTAGATGATAAAAAGAGCCAACGTAAATCCACCAATTTTATGACAATGATATCATGCATACACCTTTTCTAGGCCTATTTGTTGCACATGTATAATACTCATTTGCTACACTGTGGTTGCATTGTTGTTCTTGCCAGTTCTCAAGCTATATTGTGCCAGTGTGTTAACACTTAAAATGGATGGCAGGTGACCAGATTTTATTTGTAATGGATGTAAAGGGATTTCCCAACTGCCTTGTAAAAAAATAAATAAAAAAATAAAGGGAAAGTCTACCTCTCATTGCTGCAGGGGAAATATGTCCCTAACCCAGTGGATAGCCATGCTGTCTGCCTATGCTGTTTGTCCAATCAGTGACAAAAACACATGTTTATTTTTTCTGTTCCGTCTAATTTTGGTGCTGTATATATGACAATTTTATATTTCTAGTGTATATTTGTACTTGTAAGTTTTGATTGTTATATAATAAATTGTATGTGAACAAATTGGCCTGTCATGTTTTAGTTTGTTGAGGATAAACTTCCCAGGTGTTAATATTATACCAGAGCTTTGTGTACTTTGTTTTAAAGAATAATTGAGAATCATCCAAATGGTAATAGAGGCAAAAAGATATATCCTAAATAACCTTAAAGAGTGTCTTCACTTATCACTAAAATACACAAGACAGATGGGGAGTGTCTGTATAGTGATGAGAAAATGGACTGCCATTGATCACAAATCAGTTTATAACTGTCACTGTGCTTAGATATTTACATTGATAATATAAAAGCATGTTTGGTTTATAAGATTCCCAGATATATGGGGGATCCCCTGGTCGATGTAACAACAGAAGGGCCTTAAAAAAAAGAACACCCTCTACTGGCATAAGATAAATCAAGCAAACCCTCAGAATGACAAAAATATTCAGCATGTTAATAACATAAAGGTCTGTGTGGGTGAGACTGATTGAACGGCTAAGTTCACCAAGAGTTTATTTTGTATTTGATAAGCATCCGCACATTTTATAATTATCAGTCTGTGGTCACTGTGCTGGGAAACTGCCGTGGGAGGAGAGCCTGAGAGAGGCAAAGTGCAGAGAGGGTGGAAATGGTCAGTTGTTTTGCTGGGGTCAGGGTGGATTACAGGAAACCAGATGGGAGCAACTCATCCGCCTCTAAAACTCCAGGATTTTGCTTCAAACCCAAGGAATTTTGTGCTTTTTTTGGCTTTAAACTATAGAAAAATAATCTCAGTTTAACTTGCCAAAGGTCAAATGATGTAACAGACAGCACGTGTTACATAAAGAAATCTGGATTTGAGCCACACATGTCTGATGACCTGTTATGTTTTACACAAACTCCTGATCAACACCTACCTTTGAATCAGGATCGAGTTAAATTTAAATTTTGCTTCCGACCCAACAGCTGTTTTTGAGACAGGTGTAGATAATAATCACACATGCCTGGCCAGACAAACTGAATTACAAGCAAATAAGATTAGCACGCAGTCTGAATGTAGGTGTTGAAATAGAACCAAATGTGATGAGTAGCCTTTGAATTAAATGAGACATTGCCCTGAGAGTATTTGAATAATATGAAACTGCCACACACTGAACAAAGGCTATTTTTGACTATGTCTACAGTTTGCACAGGAGACAGTCGATTACAGACAAATCCAAGTTATTTTCTTAACTCCAGTTCTCAGCCGCAGACAGTATTACTCCCCATCCTCTCTTAGCTGTTCATTTCATGCTCCTCGCCACTTTTAATCTCAAATTTCATCCAATAAATTTCAAGTCTTTCCCAATCTACTTCTCAAATAAAACTCTGTGTCTTGCTGCGGGAGGCAGTGTCTCTATAACAACGGTAACATTACACTAAGAATTATTGGTTGCTTATTGAAAATAATTATAGACTATGACGGCACAGGCATATTGAGTAGGGTTTAATTTCTATTATTGCTTTCAATGATGGTTAAATGCACAAACCAATTACTTTTCCCTTGCCATTGCTGGTCACTTTGTGTTTAACAAGAAAATGTTTGATAAAGGCTGGAGTTTCTATGGAAACAGGGACTGCATCCAATTGAGGGTGTATCAGGCCCCTGCACGGGCTGAGGTCACCCAGCTATGACATAATTAGATTATACATACCTGCAATATAAAATGCAGCAAGAATTAGGTGCACCGGTGAACACAGATAAAATAAGCAGAAATGTATTTTCTTTATTCGACACAGCATGTGTAAAGTTATAGAAGAGTGACAGGTACAGAAAAGACATTATTTCTGAACTGATGCGTTTCAAATGTGTGTAATTAGAAAAAAATAGACTTAGAAAAAGCAATTGTATTCTTCCAAAAGGCCAATATAGAGTGGTAGTGGTAATGTTGAACCACTTCTTAATGGTGATGATGAGAATTGCATGAGCAGTGATGTGCAGATCAATAGGGAGCCTGAAAGGAACAAACGGCACTGGTAGCATACTCTGCTCCTTTATGACTCACTTCAAAGGACCAGCAATAAAGAGGCATTATTCAGCCAGGAGAGAAGTCCATTCACTCACAATAGGAAATCCTAAATGTGTCTGAAGTGTCTTAGTCATGAGGTAATTTTCTCAACAGCAGCTTTGTCAGATGGTTTGCCGAGCTTTATAACCTATCTCTGCTCGGCCACACTAACATTGACGTATTGATACGAGTAGCCTATATGTGTCTGTGTGTGTGTCTGTGTCTGCATGCGTGTGTGTGTGTGGCTAACAAGGATTTCCTGTTGTGCTCCATTACACAGAATAATAAATCAATAACGTCATTTATCCTACTCCAACAGCATTTTCACTTGTTTTTCACATTTGCTGACACATATTGAGGTTTACGCAGGCTTTCTCTTGTTTAAGATAATTAAACCAAAACTGCAGCAATTAAATATGCACTTCCTAGCTATTATATCCTACTGCTCACCCTGTAAATGTTAAAGTATGTTTGGCACAATATCACAAATGTATACTTTTAAACCTTGTTTTACATGAAATGTTACCTATAGTGTTAAATTAAACATATATTGCTTGTAATGCTAAAATTTTGGCAATGAATCCCAATAATGTTGCCTGATGGGCTTTATAGATGCTGCCAGGATTCACAAATGCTGCAGTGTCAAATCGATCACATTTACATCTAATAAATCACAATAATTGTATTATTTCCATTGCCATTGATGTGCCAACATGAGTTATTTATTTCATCTCGTGTTGCTTTTTGCAAAATAAACTCACCTGAAGATAAAGAGGCAATAGCCTAACATTAAATAATCAGAAGGGTTTAATTTTTCCACATAAAAAATGTTTTTGACGTGACACTCTCCCGAGCTGACTTTGCGCCTGTCCCTTTAAATTGGGTACCTTTAAACGGCGTTTTCTCCTCCACTACATTTCCCACAATCTACCGGAAGTAGGAGGGATTCTCTTCTTTCGTCATAATCAGGTCAACCAATCATAAACATTCAATGACGAGCGCGTACTTCGAAATCGCATCACGTTGTCCAATGATCTTCCAAAATTGTAATGTTTTCAAAATCCGACCAATCGTCACGGCTCTTGATTGTGCTGGCCAATCGGAGGACTACTCTAGGGTAGATGGGCGGCACCCACACCAGCCAATCAGATTGTAAGAAGAGTTTAAACGGTGGGCGCGGGCGGTCCTAGAGTGGCTTTGGGGCGTGTCCTACAAAGTGAGGACGCGTGCTTGAATTTGAATTCAGGAAAGGGCTAACAACTTGTTAAGATATTAGTCTCATCTACCACAGCACAACAGAGGCAGTGAGCTTTTCTGCAACACTGCACTGCTGATTTTTCGCTGTAATAGTCTTTATTTTGTTTGTGTTACATATTAGTGTGTATTACCGCAACGTTTAAACATCTGATTAGTGAAGCTAAAGGCTGTTCCAGGAGATATCACTTCACTTGCCATGAAAGCGGGCGGTAAGTAATTTACCTTCATTTAAACGTCGTCCTGTTGAAAGAGGTATAGCACATTATTAATGTAGGACGTGTGTTTGTGAAAATGTGTTTAATTATAATAATATGTCAAGAGTCTTATCGGCAGGTATCGAGCTAGCTCCGAGTCGACACTTAACGTAAACCGGGGTAGCCATGGATACTTCCTGTGGTAAACCGTGTTTTAAAAGTGCTTGATAATGACAATATTGTGTGAAACGGGTCCGTGCTCTAGTTTACGTTGATTTTTACTCTTCAATATAATCTTAAACTTCACGAAACTTGATGGTTACTTTACATTAGTCGCATTTGAATCTCGGGAGGGAAATTTGGGCGCTCACTTGGTTTGTGTTCCCAGAGTCAGGTTCTCAGTGCACATTGGTTGCAGCTACTAAGGCTTAATGGGATGGAAATGTGAGCTTTTCAAATACTTTTAAGGGTTTTCCAACTTGAATGAATTAAAACGTTTTTGGATTTAACCAGGGGGTTTGACTAGACCACCCGGAGATGCCTTACGTTAGGCGTTTTGAATGTGGAGCCATAACCTTCATCTTGCTGTGCCTGAGCAGCTAACAGCATAAGCAGACCCTGGCCTTGCTTTAAATGAAGTGCAAATATTGGTTTGACATTAATGTGAGAATGAGTTTGTGAGCTCAGCACTAAAATGTGAAATGCTTTTGAGTCATTTTGTGTTTGAGTTGTGCAGCGAGAGTGTTTGTGCTGAGGATGAGAATCATTCTGAAGAGTGGCAGACAACATATGTTAACAAATATGGATTTTCCTTCTCTTTCAGTAGTCCACTGCCGTTGTTCAAAATGTTACTCCATCCCAGCACGGAAACGGGTTCGTAAGCGAACTCCAGCCCTAACCTTGCTGTCTCTACCTGAGGAGGTCCTCCTCTGTGTGCTCCAGTGCCTCTCTGCAGAGGACCTGCTGTCTGTCAGAGCCGTGAGTAAACTTACTGTACACACTGTAACACCTACATTACCTCTAGCATTCATGTGCCATCCCATCCCAGATCTGCTCTATCTCAGTCATCTTCTAACCACTTCATCTGACAGATTAGGTCAGTCTTATTTGTTGAGGGACTAATGATCGTGATGTGTTTTACAGGTTCACTCCCAGCTGCGGGACATTGTCGACAACCACTCCAGTGTATGGGCCAGGGTCAGTTTCAGGGATACTTGGCCATCCCCCAAAACCTTGTGGCTTTTTGAAAGGTACACAGTCAAAAAAACTGTCTTGCTGATGTTTTCTTTTCTTCTCTGAGTTTTTACCTAAAATATGTCTCTCCCTTTTCAGAGCTGCTGAGAAAGGGAATTTTGAAGCTGCTGTGAAACTAGGGATTGCTTATTTGTACAATGAAGGACGTAAGTAAATCAACAATTCATTTAGATAAGACCTCCCAGTTAAATGATTTCTCCCTATAATATAATGGAAATTAAGTTCTTGTTGACTGACTGATTAAATTAAGTCAGGGGGGAAATATGAACCCTCCTTGAGGATTTCTACATTTCATTAAAGGCTCCCATCTATGCTTTGTTTCTCTCATCCAGCATTGCTGAGCGATGAAGGGCGAGCGGATGTATGCGGTCGTAAGGCATCCCACTTTTTCAGCCTCGCGGAGAGCCTCCACTCTCCCTTGACAGATCCTTTCATCTGGGTGTTCATCCGTCCACCGTGGTCGCCCACCGGCAGCTGTTGCAAAGCCGTGGTGTTTGACCGTCTTAAGGCTGAGTGTGACAGCAATGTGGTAAGTGTCACACTTAGAACTGAGCTTTTCTTTTTTTATTAAGCATGAAAATGTGTGGCCTGCTATAAGAATATCATTAGTTTGAACAGTTGGCTGACAGGTTTGGTTGCAGGCTGCGTTTTGGTGGTTTTTCCAAATTAAGCTATATATGTAAAGAAGGATGATCTCCTCTAATGCTCTTTAGGAAAACATGAAAACATAAAAATTGTATTATTACACAGAAACAGAGAAAAAAAATGCAGTTTTTACAACAAAGATGTTTCTTAAATATAAGTATCCCTGTGTTTATTTGTTTCTTTCTTTCACAGGAGAAGAGAGGACCGCTGTTGCACTGTTTGGCCAGAGTTTTGCAGCTATTTGAGGTGAGTGTGAAAGTGAGACTTAAATCTATGGGTGTGGTTCACCAAGTTTCTATTTGCCCCAATCAAAGTGTATAGCTCTGTGCTGCTGTAACAGGGGCTTCTCTAGTAACACAAGTGAGACAACTGTTTCCTCCTTTCTGATCATTTCACACTGCTTTAAGAGTCCTTATTTGTGTTTCCTATCACAACACAGTCATGTATGTGTTCATGAGACTGAGTGATTGACTGACTTGTTACTGTCTAGGAACAGAACATTGTGTTTGTGTGTTTATGGAGACCTTTTTTTCACTGATGGACCCGTATCGTCTTTTCCAGGGGGATGAAAGACGCTCAGATGCCATATCTATGCTCAAAGAGTCTTCACAGGCCGGCTGTCTGCAGAGCTCATACATGTTGTGGGAGCACAACCGGAAAGCAGCTGTGAGTCTGAGCCTCTCGTTCAGTTTCTGATTAGTCTTCCATTATGTTGAATTTAATGATCACTAAAAAAAATCCATCAATCAGAAAACACTGGCTGTATTTGTTTATAGAGTGGTACATGCAACAACATTACATCTTAATGTACTAGATACTTGTTCTAAAACCATGTTGTGAGTTTGTTATTTCCAAATGTGATTTCAAAATAACTTTTCATATTGGTTTCAGATGGCAGATCCAGGCAGGTACCTCCAGTGTGTGCGAACCCTCAGGGATTATGCTGGCAAAGGATGCTGGGAGGCACAGGTGTGTGGGATTGAAGGCGTATAATTACTATCAAATGGATGCCGCAAACCAGTTTTGATGTGTCCCTGTGCATTTCCAGGCCTCTAATGGCCTGTTGTCAGCCTGCAGATTGATACGCCCCCTTCTGCGGTTCAGAGAAATGATACAAAAGAGAGTGATTCTGCTCTGACAGCTTTGCATCTCTCATGTCATTTGTTTCATTTTCTATTTTTTATTTCCCGCTCCTCCATCTGTCCACAGCTGGAGATTCTTTTTATTGAAGCACCCAGGCAGTGTCAAGGGGGCCTGACAGTTGTTGACTTACAGAAAGTGTTTTTGTCTTGTTGCTTCTTTATAGCTTGGCCATTGTTCTGTAGTGATTTGCAAAACGTATGACTCATGTGAATCCAACGCCCTGTAATTACAGCAGCAAACTACAAATGTATTCTTTATTGGATCCATTGTTATGTCAAATCATGAAGCTGTTATGTTGACGGTATTTTAAGCCTATTTGGAACATTTTAGTTATCACATTTTTTCCCCCTGCAGGTCTCTTTGGCCAAAGTGTGCAGCAGTGGGAACCCGCTTGGTTTAGAATCCAAAGCCTGCTCGGACTTAGTGGCTCAACTCTTCAGCTGTAACCCGGCATCAGGACACTGCACACAAGGCATCCTCAAACGTGGCATCAAGGACACGATGAGGTACGCAGACTATCCACGATGACTTTACCGGCATTATTACTGTCTGCTGGTGAATAACATCCTTCAAGACAATCAAATGACCCTTCTTTAGTCATGGTGATCACTCACATTGTTTGGACCAGCTTGGCTTTCTTTAATAACATCACTAAAATGTAGATGACCGTTTGCCAGTCACAAAATTAGCATGGAATAAAGCTCAAACACTTTTTCTCGGGTTATATCATTTTGCCTTTAGGCAGAATTCAAACAAGGATTCAGGAATCATGATGGGTTTTTAAGGTCAGATATGTTAGGTAGATTAGGGTTCTAAGGAAAGGAGATTCACAACTTTTCCTCAAAAATAAGAAGATTCATCAACTATCCCCTTTTACTTTGTATGATATTCAGTTTCTTCCCTGCCTCTTCAGGTACATCCTGGTGGACTGGCTCGTGGAGGTGACCACCATGAAGGACTTCTCCAGCCTGACACTGCATGTGACCGTAGGTTGTGTGGACCGCTACTTGGCTCTGCGCTCTGTCCCCAAGGCTCGTCTCCAGTTACTGGGAATCGCCTGCATGGTAGTTTGTACACGGTAAGAATGCAAACATGCCAGCCCTCTGAAAGCTATCTTTTTTTAACTTTGAGGTCATTGATTGGTTCTTTTATTTTTTTTTCCCAGCTATATCAGTAAAGAAATCCTGACCATACGTGAAGCCGTCTGGCTCACAGACAACACGTACAAATATGAAGACCTGGTCCGAATGATGGGAGAGGTTGTCGCTGTGCTGGAGGGCAAGATCAGGGTGAGTACAACAAACCTCTCGGTGAATGTAGAAGGTCTAACACTCAATCCTTGTAGGAATTAAAGTACTCATTCAGCAGTCTTTTCCATTAGAGTCCCACTCTGCTGGACTATGGGGAGGTGCTGCTGTCTCTGCTCCCTCTGGAGAGGCGGACCACTCACCTGTTCAGCTACATCTGTGAGCTGTCACTTCTCTACTCGGCTCTCTCCTCGCCACCGCCTGCCAAGCTGGCCTGTGCTGCACTGCTCCTTACACGAGCTCTACATCACTATGGTAATAACACTCACCGACACCCACACGTTGCAGTTACTCTTGTAAACAATCCAAAGATTTACAGTTGGCGCCGATTGTTAAGTCTATGTCCACGTTCATTTATGTCTCCCTGCAGCTCCGCTTTGGCCCAGCCAGTTAGTCGACTACACCGGCTTCTCCAAGCAGGACCTTGTCTCCCTGGCTGTGCTGCTCTTTGTCAAGTGGTAAGCTTCTCAAAGAGCATGTTATCACTGAACTGCTCATCTCCTCTTCACTTTGTCTTTGAAATCACTCTCAGAAACCTGGGACAACAGAGCACAATCAAACCTTTCTCTTCCTTTAGAGGGAATAGATTACATGGGTTATCGTGACCTTGTAAGAGGTGGACCACTTGAAAGGCACATTTCAATTAGGTCCTATAAACACTTCATCTTTTGTGACAGGAGAACTGCAGGGTAGGCCTCTCCTGATGAGTGTAATCATTTCAAAAAATAGGTTTTTGAAGTGCTCTCATTTTTAAGGAAAAGTTCTGCACTTATCCTCCTTTTGAATATGTGCGATTATGTGGTCACTTCACTCCTGCAGCTACACATTTGATTGAAAAGTGTTCTGATTTGCACATTATGTTTCTTAATAGTGGTCGTTCCATCAGTCAGATCTCAACGTTATCCAATTCTTACATTTGTTCAGTTTCTAAAGGACGGATGAGAGTTCAGCACAAAGAAATCAAGTGCATTTTCTCCAAAGTAGTGAGAGAGCAGACCTACCTCTGTAAACCATGGAGTGGATGACTTGTATTCTTTACTCCTGTTGTAAATTAAATATACATGAGCTGCACTTTCACGACACAGCTTCTGAAGTGAGGCTTTGCACTAAAGTGGTTATTACTGTTAAACTCCTGCAGATCAAAAGTTTGATCTATTATTACCCAAACCATCGATATAAACGCCCATCGCTTCTGTTGCCAAGGCCAGTTGTTATGCACTCTCTGTATTTAAGATTGACTTCTATATATTGTCTCCTTCTCTCACACAATGGAAGGACATGTCTGTTCAGCTTAGACGATAATTAAACGACAAAACCAGTGCTGCACTGAGTACACCAAATGTTGTGAGCATGGTATAAGTTGTTGTCTTTGATTGTTTGTACAAAGTTTACTCCGAGTCTCTCATTAAAGGGAAATGAAAACTATCTAGTGTTGAAAAAGATAAAGGAAGTGGGTTTTTATCACTGAAAGGTTCATGTAATATAATGATCGGTTTCTGTTCCGTTTTTCTGAACTTTTTTAAATTTCTCGTGACCCCCCTCTGATTCAATTGTGACCGCAGTGTAGTGTCCCCGCCCCCAAGCAGGAAACCATAAGGTTATGACATGTGATAGTCCAAAGTGTTTAGTGTCTCCTTGTTTAAAGGCCCCTGAATATATTCTTCATTCTCTGATACCTTGGCTCACAGCCTCTCTGTGCTTTCCTTTCAAAAGAGATGATGATGATGATGTTGTTGATTAGTGACGAGTCCGGGTCTTCCCAGCATGCTCAGCCACGATGTTTAGAAATACGATTATCTTTAATGTCTGTTGACCAAGGAATTGGACGAAATTTTAAAAGCAAACATGAAACCCCCAAGCAAGCTGCAGACACAAAAGACTGAAGGGTGCGTGCGTGCGTGCGTGTGTCACCAGCTGAGTCACGGAAACGTGCCTCAGGGTGAGTCACTTTGATAGGTGAGCATTGTATCGATAAACTGTAATTCTCAAATGGGCAAGTAACGAGATTTGTTCCAAGAGTTGATTTTAAAGATGGAGCCAGCACAGTGGATCAAACTCAACCATTCTTCTTGTCTCTGCTCCCTGTCCACCCCTCTCTACCCCCCCTCTTTATCTGTGTGTCTTCTCCAGTTTCAGTCAAGATGTTCCTAAAGATTACAGGCATGTGTCTCTTACTGGAGTCAAACAGCGGTTTGAAGACGAGGCCTACCGGAGCATCAGCAAAGAAAGGGTACTTCATTTTAATTTTTCATTGTAGGTGGTGGGGGGGGAATAAAGCCATCTGCTACACTGACATCGCTTTCAGGTTTATGATGTCATCTCCCTAATGGTTCTTTTATAACTCTGAAAACTAATATCTGATACTATTTCACATCTTGTGTAAGGTGATGGACTATAAAGAGTTGTGTCAGCTCTTGGAGATTCCTGAGGTGGAGCCTCAGATGGAGCCTCCCAGTCCCACTGGTCAGCCAGCAGACATCCACACCTTCCTCGCCTCTCCATCCAGCACCAGCAAGAGGTAAGCCATGCACCAACACACAACTGTGCCATCACAGCAAATACTGTGATATTAAAAACACATTTAATGACCAAAAAAATCAAGGATTTATGAAAGAAAATATTATTAGAATAAATAAATAATAGTGTGATGTGTAATCTATTCAACCTGCTGGAACCCGGGAAACCTTTGATTAGCTGAAATTGCTCTGTTTGTCATTATAATTTCCTGCTCTGAGCACTCATGTGCTTGCTGGCCTTATATTGCTCTCTAATGGCACTGCGCCAGTCTTACTGATACTCGCTGTTTCATGGATGTACCCAATACTCTCTTTAACTTTGCATAATCTCAGTTTGCCCTCTTATAGAATAATGGTTGAAGTGAAATCAGGGATGCAGCATTTGCATATACTAAAAGCAACATCATGAATACATAAATAAATACTTGACTAGTATTGATACATTTTATTGTCTTAGTGCTGTCCTACATATAATTAAAAAATACACAAAGTAAAGACTTTCACTTCAATGATTTTCACTTAATTCACCTTTAATAGAAAGTGCTATTTCATAAAAATCTTACCAATTTAAATGTGTAATATATAAATGTTTACACTTAAATATCTAATTAATTAAAAATGACTAAACCTATGTTATCTATATGTTTTATTGTTGAGTACTTACATTACTTTAAATATTCCCAACAGCTATCAAATCCAGAAAAATCCTTAACTTCATAGTTGTAACACCCTTATGACAGATGCAACATGTCTATCGTTGCCTTGGAAACACTGGATGTTGCCTCTAACAACCCTGCGGGAACTGCTGCTAAGAGCTGCCGTACTGTTGCTGCTGTGATAAAAACGTCATGTAAATTATACCGGGATACATTATCTTGTGGGTAAACATATTCTCTTCCTCAGGTCGGTTTCTGACGTTCATCTTGACTACGCTCAACTCGTTCATTTTCATTATGAAAACACTCTTAAATGGACTTTACATGATAGCATTACTAGAACCTCAATCCAAAAAGAGGGTGGGGGTTTGAGACATGCAAATAATTCAGTTTTGAGAAAGGACTCACTTAGTGAAAGCTAAATAAGCTATGTATCTGTTCTGAGTCTCCTGTGCTCCTTTACTTGTGAACAGTCTTGTTCAGGAGGCGTTTGTTTGTGCCATCTGCTCCAGTGACTCACCGTAACACACTGATTGTCCATTTTCTCCGCAGGAAACGCGATGACGCCATGCAAGCCCACAGAGCCTGTTTCATGGCCACGCCCACTGCAGAGCTATCCAACCAGGAGGAGACGCTACTGGGCGACATCATGGACTGGAGCCTGGACACTTCCTGCTCCGGTTACGAGGGGGACCAGGAGGAGGAGAGCGAGGGGGAGAAAGACAGTGATGGTGAGTGTTAGCAGAGAATCCAGTCTGGTTCTAAGCAGAGTCTCGAAGCATTAACATGAACTAATCTATATATAGAGAGGAGAATAATGCACAAGTCTCTTTTCCAGTCGGACATAATGTGACTAGAGATGACTCAGCAGTTGTAATGTCCCGCATATTAAATGAGCACATACATTAAGGCCTTCATATTATGCAGGCTCACCGTCATGTACAGATGCAGATGGATGAGAGTAGCTGTACAGTTTGTTAGGTGCTGTCTCTAAACTTGTTGAAGATTATTCCATGTTTTAAACTATTACACATGTTTGTTTTTCAATAGCGTCTATGATCTCCATCAAACTGTCCCCACTGACGGAGGATGAAAAAATACTGGAGCACTGCAGAGCACTGTCCAGCGATGAAGACAGCTTCTGTGAAGCGGAAAAGGATGAAAGCAAAGACGGACAAGCTCCGAATCCAATGTCCTTCCCTGCAGATCTCCACACTTCAGGATACTCCTCCATCCAGAGCGTAAGCCCCTCGTCCACATGCTCCTCCTCCTCGCTCATGCCTTGCACATTCAAGACCTTAACCACGTCTTTGGGCGCAGCCTCTGCCAATGCCACACCAGGCTTCCGACTTTTGGTGCCCATGCAGAGGCCCCGCGGCACCTCGGGCAAACAAGTGAAGAGGAAGAACTCGGCAGCTCATAGCGGAGGCGAAGTGGAAAGAGAAGGGGACGAGTATTCTGCCAACGCAGGGTTTCTGAGCCTTTAGACGGAGCGTCTTCAGGCTGCTCACTGGCCACCTGCTCAGCTGTTGTCCTCCAGCACTTTGTTCTTGATGCTGTTCCTCACTCACATCAGTCTGCACTGAGCCCCTCATCGCCAAAAGATCAAGAGACTTTAAGCTTAAAAAAATGAAAAGTTCCTCCCATAAATATAGACTCACAGCTCTGAAACCACTGGAACAAGGCCGGACTTTCCTCAGGACCCTGGTACAATCTCTGTTACTTCTGCCTTCTACAACAACCTATCTCTGATAGCAGTAGATAGTTGTTAAAGAAACTACAACTCATGGATTTGTTTTGGATAAAGTGTTCATTGTTAAGATCATATTTAAGCTAAAAACAACAACTGAAAAACATAGCTGTCGTGTTATTGCTTTGGTTATCAACTTCTCTGTAATGCACTGTCTGTACAAGAAGCTCTCTTGTATTTGGTGAATGTCATCAACTATTTGCTTCTGTCAACTAGTTGACAGAATATGATCTAAAGCCTGGAAAGATATGATTGTATTCAGTTCTCGTTCAGTTTTGTTCATAGTTCTACGTCTGTTTGCCAAAGGTACTGTGTAGGTGTTTGTGTCTTCAGGGGCATCTGCTGAAATAGAACCAGAGCTGTGAAATGAGTCTCTTAATCCTGTCTACAGTTTTATACATGCACAACAGTTGGAGTGTTGCTTTTTGATCAATTGTACTGAAAAGACCTCTCGCACACTAAACACTCCAGGAACAGTTGAAAGACTTTTAAAAGAGGTGGTAACGGTACTAAATGAAGAATGACTAGCTAGTCAAGTATCATAACAAACCTCATCTTTTCATCCATATGTTCGGTCCTGCACAGTCACTAAGTTGTGCTCTACTCGCTTTTCCTCATATCTGATTTCGGTCTAGCACTTTTATCATCTGGAGGGCAATTCAATGACATTTAACAGCTTCATGCTTGAACAATCAATGTGAAAGTATTTTTTGGATTTGCTTTGTCTTCTTGGATTGAAAGGGAAGATCAGACACTAAAGGAAAAAAATCCTGAATGGGGTTTTGAGTTCAGGGCATTGAGTATACAATACATGAAATGACTGTGACTGACTAATCCCATTTTAAAACCGTTACACCAGTCTGGTTATCACCTGTGTGTTTTTACATGTGTACATAGTTGTAATATGTATAAATAGAGAGAGAACAACATGCCACTACTACTTGAAATAGGTTTTGCTTCATGCCAAAAAGGCAGTTTTCTATGTGAGATGTCTGTTTTTTCTAAAGTACAGTGTTTTCTCTATAGACCTGTTATGTGAATATGTAATTTTGTATTAAATAAAACAAGCCATCATGCTAGTTTACTTTCTGCGTTATTTTTGATGCCCTCATCACCACGTTTGATTTTTTTTCACTATAAAATTCTTTCCAAAGTAAAGTTTTTCTTGGAGTTAAATGAACACAACAACAGGAGTGTCAACATTTGATTTGCTAGAGATTTTTAGTGTTAAATAATATTTTTTTAATTTGGCAGATTTGGCCCTTTTTTTGCTAATAAACACAGTGGATTAAACCTCAGCAGTTCTTTCCATGGGAAAAAAAAAAAGCATTACACTTTTAATCCCACCATGAAGATCTCGACGCTTATGTTGTAGCCATCTCATGACAAATGAAAACTGTGTTGGAATAATACTGGGTAAAAATAAAATATGTAAAAATTACAATTAAAATGTTAAGTCCTTCCAGATACTAAAGCTAAAATGTGCAGACAGGGATGCAGATGTCAGGCATCAATAGTAACTATTTTATGTTTCACATAAAGTGAAGTTAACCTCTTATGACGAGTACTTCTTATCCTTTGACTGCCAGTAAAAAAGCTTTGGAAGAAGTTTTCTAAAGTGAGGATATAGTCCATGAGCTTCAAGTGTAAAACAGATGCTGGGTTACAAACTGGATATGCAGAGTGTAAAAGAAGAGGATGTTTGTAAAGCAGGCAGGATCTAATTAACAGACTATATTGAGTTGTATGATGGGAATCTTGTGATCCAGCCAATTTCATGCCTGTTAATATGGACTCTATAAAGTCTGTGTATCACAGCTGCATTGACTTTAAAATCACTCTTGTTTAAATATGTCTGCTAAAAACCCTGTAGCTAAATAAATAACAACAAAGAGTAGCATTCTACGGCATCAGTAGCTATTTTGTTATATAAAAAGTAATGCCTGAAATAATGTACCGGTAATAGAGCAATACAGATGTTAGAAACTTTTATTTAATTATGATAACTCCGAAATAAGGCTGCAGCTCCTTTTAAGGTATTGTATTTGTGAGAAGAAAAAAAAAGACAGGGTCTATAAAAATATATATATATAATGTAAATATATATATACAAAAAAATATATATTACAAGAAATGGTTAAAAGACTGAGACGACGCCCACTGTTTTAGGTCTGGTACGCCGTTATAACATGTAAATTATGGAGAAAAAAAACCCTTCTCTGTCAGACTGGAGCCTGACAAATTTAAAATAATGCTAGATAAATTACTTAAATTGCCAGTAAGACAGAAATGTAATTGAAAATAAAAATAAACATAAATTCACAAATATTGCATCTTTCATAGACCTCCTTAGTTCAACGCTACAATGTGAGTACTGTCGTTATTAATATTATACATTCGTTTCTTCTTTGTTTCTTTTCCCCTTCACTCAGTTTATAGGTTTTTTTAGGCATTTATAACTTGTGTTATTGTTCATTTGAATGACTATTTTTTAGTTCAGGTTTGAACTGATTCCTATATCAAGAAATAAGAAAACATAGTGGAGGAAATAATGTAAATATAGGGATGAACAGCACAGCTTCTTGTTTCAGTCATCCGTTCTTTGCGTTTTCCTTTATTTTTATTTTCTTTATATTTTAGAAAATGTTGGTAAAATGCAACAAAAAAATGAGAAATAATAAGGGACGTCAGAGGTTTGTAGCACGTACTTTATATATATATTTTTATAAATAATAATTTTCTATTATGATTTTTGGGTGAGGAAACGCAAAAAAAAAGCCCAGCTGTTCAGATCACGTGACACCCTGCTTCCACTGAGGTCACGTGAGGTGTTTTGTTGACGGTTGTCGCTGCGTTTCGATGAATTCACGGCTTATCCTGCCGCTGCTGCTGCAAAGTCATCTTGTTAGAGGGAGGCAGCAAACTGGAGGTGGAAAACACTGAGCGGCTGCGGATAACCTGAGCTTCACTGATGCTAGCAGAGCCTTGACAGTGTCGGCGAAGAGAGAAAGAAGCCCCGGTGTGATGGTTTTGTTGTCGGTTTGATACAAAAGGAGGAATTGTTTTCACCTCCCAGGAAGAGGGACCCACAGCGTGTGAAGTTCATATGACGAAACCTGCCTTCTTCTGAGGTAATTTGAAACATTTATCTCATAAATCACCAGTGAGTTACACCGGTTGGGGCATTTTCTTGTTAATAGTGTGTCAATTGAAACAATATCGCAGAGTGAGCATGTTATATCTTTAGAATACCTAGCTTTCTCCCTCAGCTTCATCATTAGCATTCATCAGAATCCTTAGGGATTGACGGGCAGGTTGACTGTCCAATCAGAAGCTTCAAAATGCTGCGGCGGACCAATCAGAGAAGAGCAAGGCCGTTCTCAGCAATAAGGAAGAGGTCCACGTCTGTAATGGCTTTCATGTGTTTCTTGTTTGTTTTCCTTTATTTAGAACAAACTAGTAAAAGGAATAATCACTCTAGGTATGTATCACATGGTCTTATGTATTAAATTACACGGATAATACATCCGGATGACCCTTAATATGCCATGAAAGGAAAGTAGTTTCTCTAACATGAATGGCACCAGTGTGAAATTCAGACAGTCCCAGAATGACCTGTTTCAGTACATTTATGAACTCATGCGCTGTGAAAGGAATCTCCCATGAGGCAAAGCCTAGTGTGTCTTAAATATAGAAACATTTAAAGACACTCCAGGCTATATTGATCTTCATAGTCATTGATCGCCCTGTTTGGACTGTACCAAATTGTTATCTGTAAATGTCACTGTCAATAAACTAAAGACAAATTAAGCTGTTAATGAAGTTTGTGAACTATAATGTCACCTATATAGACATTTGTGTTTCCCATTTCCTGCTTCTACACACAAAGAAATGAAATCCATTGACTGGTCCAACTGGTGGATCATGTGGATGTCATTGACCTGCTTTTTTATCTCTGGCTCATTTACCAGTTTTCTCCCCTTTCCAACCGAAGTACTTGCGAGCTGGTATCGCCCTTGTTATACTTGTAAAACTTGCCCCCTCTTTTTATCTAATGTTTTTTTTTTCACAGTTTCCACTTTGTGCAGAGTTTATGATCACAAGTTAAACATGATGCTCATTATGATACAGCGCATGGATTAATTTCACTTCTCTTTTTTGTTTTCTTTTGGTAAATAGAAACAGAAATCAGAAACCTTAAGGGGGAGGGTCACAATGTTTTAATACAGCACAAAAAAAGGTCAAAGAGACCATCGTCATCATGTCAAAAAGTGAATACAGCAGGTCTATTGTGAAGTTGACTGTTAACCTCTTTTTTTTCTGTCTCCAGCCACTGTAGAGGGCTGACTGGACTGTGTTCTGTGTACTGATCAAAATGGCTATCATACGACAATTCAGACTACTGGTGTGGAAAAACTATCTTCAGCAGGTGAGTTGGAGCGAGGTTAATCTTCACCCAGCTAGTTTGAGTCCTTATTAGGTACTGATATTGTTTATAGCTGTGTTTAATCAAAAGTAGTTGTGTTTATAGAGCAGGTGCCTGCATGGCAGTGCGTGTTAAGTTATAGCTTTATGGGGCATCATAAATACAGAAAACTGACTAACATTTTATTTTCAGCGACTTGTGATGGTACCCAGCTACTTGGAAACGTATTGATCTGATTAATATACAGCAGGGCTGCACTGTTGTTGTGTCACAGGTTCCAGCTAGGTCAACACTTTGGCTGCTGTCGCATGCTTTCCCAGCCTTATATGGCTATCTGAAGGGGAAATAACTGTGTGTATCTTTTGTTGCTTTTTTTTTTTTTTTTTTTAAGTCATTGTCACACAAACATCATGAGCAGTAATCAATACTGTCACTTTCTTATTGTTAATCATTACAAAACAGACATGTACTTCCAAAGTGAAGGATGTTGGTATTTCTAACGTGTTAATCAGTGGCAATAATATTACAGAAGAAATACACATGTGTGTATATGAGTGTGTTATTTATGTCTTTATTTCAGAAAGAGATAGAGTTGGAAATCGAGGGGAGAGAGAGAGTGGGGAATGGCCTGTGGAAAAGGAGCCACAGGTCAGATTGAACCCGGACTGTCTGCTTCTAGGACTCTGTACATGGGGCATGCAAACTAACTGCTATTCCACCAGCGCTCCATCTATTTTATTTTAAATACAGCCACCCACGTAGAGCACGCACATCAGTACAGTATATATTTATGTATACACAAACTTAAACTGCGAATTTAAGCCAAATAAAAACACTGAAATAGAAAGAAAATAAATACATAGCATACAAGAATATAAAGTGGAGTTAAGGTTATGAGCATACAAATAATAAAGATACACATGTAAAAAGATTTTTCTGCTATTGCAATAATTTAGGTATAACTTCTCTGACTTTTTTTCCTGCTTTTTTAAAAGTCGGTAAACATGTTAGCCTGGCTCAACACCTTATCATAACTCAAAACCTCCCAGACAGACGTGGCGTCCTACACCAACAGTTCACTTTAAGAGTTTGCACTGCTCTGCATGAAAAACAACATTATCAAGTTCAGCGTCTTAGTTGAGTTTACAGAAGATTGGAAAGAATTTGTACTCCAAACAGTGCCAGTGAATTGCACCGAATGGAAACTTGCATAGTTTTGAACTTTAATATCAGTTGCTCATTGCACAACCCTGCAGCTATTCATGCAAGTTTGGCTATCTGCTTCAGATCATGCCTGGTGTGTTGAAGTCGCTCCAACTAGTTTTTTATCCACTCACTGCCCTTCCAGTTGTGGTCGTCCAGAGTCTACAGAGGCTCCATTAAGACCAGGCAGGAAAAAATACTGTCTTGGTGTTGCTCGGCCGCAGAACACTAACACAGTACAGTGAATGTTTGTCACTTAAAATTAATTTCCAAATGTCATGCTTTGCAACATTCAACCTTCCGTTGCAAAGTGCTGACATCATAAGGCCTGTAAAAGCCTGCTGTAAAAAACAGCAAAGTCCTGATATATCTGGGTCATTCAGTTGTTTGAACGTGTCCTTGGAAAACTGGTCCCATTTAGAAAATGATTATACTCTTAAATGTCGTCATTCATT